ATGTTGAAGGTGCGATCGTCACTAGTTTTTTACCTCGTTAAGAGGTGTTTTTATTTGATATCAGAAGTTTTTGTTTGTTTACATTTGCTCTCATAGGAGCTAATATATACATTTAAATTTAAATTGGTCAATCATAATTTGTAAGCCATTGTATTTAAACAAATTAAGTTAAAAACCGTTTAAGTATTTCAAAATACCTTTTAAACGAGGTATAGCACATGTCTGTAGCTTCAGTAGTGTAGAACTTACAAACTAACGAAATTTAGCTATTTCTAGCTTTTTTTCCGCTAAAGCAGCGGGTTTTTCCAAAAGTCGTAAAACAAAAGTTTCCTATTTGGAACTCCTTAAAACAATTGAAATGATTCTATGACCCTAAAATACAGTTCGGATACCCTCACACAAAATTCAATACTCAGGAAGCATTAGTTGTTCGAGCTGGCAAAAGTGGCTATTTTCGTTTCTGAAAAACTTTTAAACGCGATTTTTTACATAAACATGATATATACCAAAATTTAAGGAATCTCAAGGGCTATACAGTTTAAAGTTGTAAGGAAAATCGTTAGAGCCGTTTTTGAGAAAATTAAAAAAAAGCTAAAAAAAAAGTTTAAACAAATTTTCTTTTGTTCATATCTTTTTAACTATTACATTTACACAAATTACATATAGAAGGCGTTTATAGCATTTAAAAATACCTTTCAAACGAGATGCAGCACAAGTCTGTAGCTTTAGTAGTATAGAAGTTACGGCTTTCCGAATTTTAGCTATTTATAGCTGTTTTCCCGCTAAACTAGCGGGTTTTTCCAAAAGTGGTAGAACAAAGGTTTTTTATATCGATGTGATGAACGTCATATCAAATTTTCAGAACTTAAAAAACATATTTTGGACAAACTGACAAACTGACAAACAGAATTAAATTTTCATTTTGGGAAGAAGAAGAAAATCTTATTTTGGCTATAACTTTTGAACGGAGCGTCGGATTTTGACAAATGACCCCTCATTCGACGGGTATTTTCAAAAGGAATACAACTAAAACATTGCGAAGGGGCATTTATACCCACCGGCCCCAACAGCTCCAAATTTCGAAATTTTCACTTTTTCACTTTCACCGCTCTCTCTCCCAAGCCAATTGATTTTCTTAAAGTCTTGGTATGCAATCCTTTAAGTTTCTGCAATACCTTTCGATTGGTGTATTACTCATTACGATCGGACTATCACAGCAGATTTTCAATTTTGCGGCTATATAATAGTAGTCGCCTTCGCACACTCTCCTGGTGCGCTTCGTCACTACATGGACTGCCGTCCATAGTGATTCTACTAAGGACTAAAAGTACCGCCCCTCAAGGTACATTATATACGATTTCAATCCTGATTTTCAAATTACAATTTTAGCAGATTGCATGATGGAAATCTAGATCATGAACACAACTCACATGGTCTTTAAAATCCAAGAAATTACACCTTTGTATCCAAATCCAAGCACTAGATAACGGCACATTGATAGGATAGCTTACAGAGAAAGTTGTTCAATTTGCTGTTAAGTTTTCTAGCCAGCAACACGTGCGGTGTTTTGTTGTCGTTCAAATAGCTATATACTGCAAGTGATGCTTATCAAATGGCGTTTGTTGCTAAAAAAGGGGAGTACCCCCTGACGCACTCCTCGGGTGCAAGGCGTGTGCATTTTCACAGCCGTTTGAATTTGCCAACATTCCCGAAATGTGCAACATGGCGTAAAGAATTCTTGTTAAGCGCAGCAGTTGCACCCATCCCGGCCGAAAAACTAAATATATACAGGCACAGGCAACTGTGACATAATATATTTTTATAATAATAATTTTTATCATTAATTAAAGCACAAAAACAGCAACAGATAAACATCAAAACTAAATAATTCAGTAAATAAATAATTGTACCTAATTGATGCACTTTAGGCTCAATAAAAGTGCTAGCCTGCACACCTGTTCGTTTTTTTTTATCCAGGATAATTCTTAATTAAATTTTAAAGTATATAGAATTGATACAACCAAATAAAAATTGGAATTTATAACATGAAATATCAAGAACACTTACCCTCAAAGAGTGCTTTCAATGCCATCAAACTGGAAATACTGCACGGTGAAAGTCTAGAGCACGGAGTCCACTTTCACTTCGAAGGACACGGGAACAGCAACACACTGACATAGACGGGTTGTCAGTCCCAGTCCGTCAACCAATGTTCGCTGAAGCGCAAAGCGGAAATCAGACGCCATATCGGACGGAAATGTTCGACAAGACTCGTGCGGAAATGGAAAGCTGGGCAAAAGTATTGAGATTACAAAATTGACTAGATGAATATCCAAACAAACAAATATGCTCTCCAATTGCTGCAGGCCAATAAAACGCAGTCAGTGCACTGCCCATTGTTCGGCTATCATTCCAAACAGAGATGTAACCCAAGTCAGTAGAGAGAACATCCCAATCGATTTCGAATTTGCAGTAAAAATGCAAATTCCTGATACGGGGAATGTGGCATGAGAGGTCAGAGCCCCTCCCAGATGCAAATTCCATGCGACTAAGTTTCGTTTTGTCAAATGCATCAAACAGAGGAAAACAAGGAATCACGGAGCATACGCAAATGACACAGCTGCATTTCCACTTGTAGATACATTTGCAGTTGCAATTTCAGTTGCAGATACAGATACTCATGTTTCGTTTTGGATTTAGCTTGGGATCCGTTTGAAATGTATTTTCAATCCCTCTACATACATTTACGATAAGCGTATGTCTCAGATTTGTATTGACATTTAAACATTTGTCTTTCACTTTGACTTTTATGATTACATTTTAATTTCAATTGTAATAAAATCTCCTAAATTTTGGAAACACATCTACATAATTTTTCACAAATTGGCAAATTAGATATTATCGATTTTTATTTGTATCTGAAAATATCTTATGCGTTTGTTGACCCATTAGAAGGCACTCAATCCGATTCGCATCTTGGTAGACGACGTCAGCAGCGACGTTTTTATCTGCAACTTCTCGCCCTCCTTAGAGATGTCATCCAAAATCCATTGAGCGTGACGTATGAGTATGAAATTCTTTGGGGTTTCGTGTGGAATATTTTGCTCCTCATTCCCTATCTCCTCTCTGTCAGTCAGACATGGTCTATTAATTTTATTAGTGTCATTGCATACAGCAAGTCTTGGAATTCTGAATCCCCTTTGCTGAGAAGTCGCTTTTTTTGTGGTGGAAATTCTCATTTAGTTTCCTGCTATTCTTGAGTGGGTTGCGCAAAAAAGTGCAGTAAATTTCCAAGACCACAAAAAATGTCCAAGCCATTATATTTATATACTCAGAAAAGTTTCTCTGCAAGGAACTCTTTTTCGCTCAGGTTGCAGCTTTGACCCAAAAATACTGCCGTATAATCTCTTCTCGCCCAGCAGAATTTAGTAACACTTATATTTTATGATTTATTTGTTGCATTAGTGAATGTCGTCGGCAGCAGGTCCTGGCGGCCACTTCAGAATGTCTGGGGCAGTCCCGAGTGCCTAAAGGTATTCAACGCTAGCCTGTTTTATTAATGGCCAAAAACTATTCGTCTAGAATTGTTACCAGATTTTTAAAGTTTACTTCCTTAAAAGGGGATAATTATCGTTGTCGCTTACATTCGAAAGTAGCATTCGGTAGATGTCCCCAATTGCTCCACGTTTCAACAGCAGGACATTAACGATTCCTTGTTTTGTTAGTTCTTTAAAAATGCTCAAAGTCATACGAGTAACCAAACAGAGACGCGGGCGCAAACAAACACGGCACAGTGGGGCAATGGCACTACAGTAAACACTGCGCGAGTGGAACGCAGCCAGGCGTGCTAATTGTGTCATTTACATTGGCAAACAAGTGCGAGCGAACAAGTCAAAGGCTCAAACAAATTAATGCGGCTGAGCGCATCTGCCGAGCTCTTTGCACAGTGCAATTAACGGCGACCGAGGAGCTGGCAAGATATGTAAATAATTAATTTAAGGGATCTCCGGTCAGAGGTAAAAATAAATAATGAAGTGAAAAAAAAAATCTTGTCAGAAGTGGGATTCGAACCCACGCCTACAGAGTAGACTACGACCTGAACGTAGCGCCTTAGACCACTCGGCCATCCTGACTTGTTCGTAACTCGCCCCAAACACCATGACATTTCTGTGCTAATTGATCTAGCCGAAAGCTCCAGCAAAAGTTCTAAAAAAGCTTACTGACCACTGATCGATAGCTAAATCGATACTTATCGGAAATTCAAAACCGAAAACCCGTTTTCCAAATCAATATTCAAGTTTACCGCTCAAGTAAAACTAGAAAATAGTTTTGTTTATTGTTTATCCAGTATTTCATACGATCAAAAATATAATAATGCGTTGATACTTATTTGTAATAATTGTCTTACATCTTTATTTACTTGCAACTCGTTTCTTTATTATTACAATAATGTATTTTATCAGCGTGATAAGTGTTCAATTTCGAAATCGGAGATACGAGAGCCATACGCCTTCCCTCGTCATTTTATAGAATTCGAAAATGTGTGTTTTTTTTATCTGTTTTATTAAGAAACGTAACGTTTCCACAAAAAATTGCTAAACGTTTCCTAAATATACATAGTTTAACTAAAAATATGACTACAATTTATTAAAAAGTTCTTGCACATCTAAAACAAATGTTTTTAGTTTTTAGATCTTTAATTTAGGCTTTTTTGTTGGCCTTCTAGTGTTTTCCATTGTTTTTATATTTTGGTACTAAGTCTTTCATTTGTTGCATTTTAATTTTGACTTTTCTCGTTACGTGTTTGACATAATATATTTAATAAAATTTATATGATGATTTTTCTTTAACTAAATTGAGCTAAAATATATTTTACATTTGCCTTTGTAACCTTTTTTGCCTTTGTGTAATTAAAAATAATTTTTGGATGGTTCCATTTGTGTTTAGATGCATTTCTTCTGAGCCAAAAATAAGCAATTGCCAGGGAAATTCTTACGCTCTTCACTTTTCAGTTGTTGCTTTTAATTCATAATCAAGTCGCTTTCTTTTCTTCTTTCTACATTTCATTACTTCAAGAATTCCATACATTAAACTTAGCATAAAGAAGTACACTAAATATTAGATTTATTATACACATATATGCATTTATATAGACGTGTGTATATATCGTATGTACATAATTAATAGGCAACCACTTAAGCTTAATATAAAAATAAGTATTTTTTATGCAATATTCATTTGCCACAAAATGTACTAAAAACCGAAAACTGTACAGTTTACAATATTCATTCTCATCATCGGCAATCAGTTATTATATCTTTATCATTGTCAATCTGTTCAACGGCATTCTAAGCACATACACAGCGCATTTCCAAACCAAACCCAGCTGCAGCTATCTAGCAACAAAACTTCAACGAACTGTATTTATTAGGATGAGAAACGAGTGATTTTCAAAATTCTAGCAAATAAAAGGAAACAAAACCAAAAGGCAAATAAGAACTTTTTGTCTTTACATGCACAATATTACTAATCGTTTTCTCGTGTGTTTTGCTCGGCTTTCAGATCTTTTAGGACTTAAGCTAGGTTGGTTTTGGATTTGGTATGCATGCTAATGCCGTGTGGGGTGCTACTAAATCGCCATTAGTACACACTAGCTTCATTGCTGCTGCTCCACTAATGTAGTTGTCTCCATGTTGTTGTCGTTGCTGAATCGTATACCTCTCGTTTAGTACATTGACTTTCATGAGGCGTACATGCGGTTAATATCGTGCTGATATCTGTCCTGGATATCCTTGCGCTTCAGCTTGAAGGCGGCCGTTACCAGTCCCATGTCCGGAGACCAAACCTCCTTGCACAATGTGATAGCGGCGGGCACCTCGAACTTTTGCAATTTGCCTGCAAGAAATAAACAATTCGAAATTGGTACTTTCGAAATATATTTAATACACCATAATAACTCACATTTCCGCGCATGTTCAGCAATTTCCTTGAGTATAGCCTTCTCGATGATGGGCGATGAGCACAGCTCTTCGTAGGTCTTGTCGCCAAGTCCATGCTTCTGTGCCAGCTCCTCCAGATGATTTTGGTTGGGGACGACCAGCGCCACTGTGAACTGCTTTGTGGGATCTCCGTATACGCAAATGTTCTCGATAATTCCGCACGTCTTCAACTCTGATTCAACCTTGCCGAGGGAAACATATTCGCCGGCCTGCAGCTTAACCAGATCCTTCTTACGATCTGCAGAAAGCGAATAATCAGAAATGGAACAAAATACATTTCTTTAAACAAATTTACCTATAATCTTAAGTACGCCATCAGCTTGTATTTCGCCAATGTCGCCGGTTTTGAACCATCTGTGGCCGTCCTCCTCGAAGAAATCCTCGTTGGTCTTGCCGGGCAGCTTGTAGTAGCCCTGGGAGACACACTCGCCGCCGATGAGAACCTCGCCCTGGGGATACGGCTTGTTTGTGACGCGGTAGTTGCCTTCCTCCCAGTTGACCAGACGGATGTCGCAGACAGTCAAGGGTCCTCCAGTGCGTCCATAGGTCATATCACGGTCTTAAGTTGGGTGGCAGTCAATTAGTATATTGTAACGATAAGCCCTATCTGCAATCACTTACAATCCATTACTGTGGCTCCGGACGTGGTTTCCGTGAGACCATAGCCCTGAATCAGCTCCAAGCACAGGCAGGTCTTGATTTGCTCATGGGTATCGGCTGACAGAGGCGCCCCACCGGACATGATAATGCGCACTTTGCCGCCCATCAGCTTGGCCACCTTCTTGAACACCAATCTGCAAATGTATGAATAGTTTTAGTTACCAACTCGAGACCGTGATAAGCGTACTCTTCTTACTTGTCAATAAGCGGCGTCTTGTAGCCCCGCTGCACCCACTTGACTTTGTACTGGTAAAGGAATTTGAAGAGCGATTTCCTGAACGCCGAGCCCGAGTTGACCTTGTCGTTGATGCCCTTGGAGATGCGATCGAGTATCAGCGGCACCGAAGTCATGCAGGTGGGCTTCAGCACGGTGGCATCGCCCTTGCAGCCGCGTCGGATCTTGCTGCTAGTGTCGATCAGGGTCAGCGGGGTCGAGTAGCCAATGGGCACGCCGGTCATCAGGCACACACTCTCCGCAACCAGTTCGAAAACGTGAGCCAGGGGCAGGAAGCCGATCAGAACATCGTCCGGGTAGATGGGAACCATGTCAACGAAGCCCTTCATCGTGGCAATGCAGTTCTTGTGGGACAGCAGGACGCCCTTCGGTGTGCCAGTGGAGCCGGAAGTGTACATGATGATGGCAATGTCGTCGCCCTTGGGTGGCACGTTCTCTATAAGAATCAAAACAAAATTAAGGATTAATAAGAGTAAGCGAAAGAAAGCAATCATTGCATTCTCAACCAAACAGAGCACGCTATCCCCATCATGTCACCTTTGTCATATTTATATCAAGTACCGAATCATTTCGGTATAGGAGAAAAATTGTTTCAAAATTGTGTAGGGTAATATTTTAAATTAAAGACACGAATCAGAATGGCTGAAGTCCTGGAAGAATTCATCACCCTCACACCCTTGACTTGTGTGCAACAGTGCAACGCTTTACTAGGCGCCACATCAGGGAAACCGAGAAGCTGTTCTGTATTTTTCACTCTTTTTGGCGTATACTGCGGAGTTCTCGTCTTTCGCGCCTATCGAACGTATTCCTCGAAACAGGGAGGAGATGGTGAAAAGATATCGGAAGGAGTTACATTGGAGGCAAAAGCGGATGATCTGAACTTGGAACCAGGTCCCAGCCCAGTGAAAGAATTTGCAGAGCAAGCGAAGCCGATCCTGTTGCAACCCGTCGAGTTTTCCAGCACTGACATGAGGTGAGAAAAGTCACGTGCCTTAAGATTCTCTGATATATTCGACCTCTTATACAGATGGCGCTATAGCCACCAACTGCCTGACGCAAGTCTTATGCAAGAATCAGATAGTGGTGAAGAAGTAACTCAAGATGACGAAACGCTGAGTAATGTGGGGGATAATAAAGATGAGGACGAGCCCGCCACAGTGTCAGTGGCCACATCGACATCGGGGGCAAGGTCTCGGGTGCACGAGGATGGAGAACATACCGAGGCAACATTATTTCCGGTGTGATGGCTCAATGACAAATTTATCATTTGATCGAGAATAAAATAAATCATTTTTTAACTCCCCCCCTTAGCACATACCAAATTTGCTGTCCTGTCCTGTCTTCACAACCTGGCTGAATGGCAAGATCTTGACGCCGTCCTTGAAGCCAGTGGTCTCTGTCTTTTGCAGCTGATCCTCGATATATATTATGGTCTTCACCAGCGGGCACTTGTCCAGCAGAGTCTTGAACTTGGGCAGCAGATCGTGCGAGGTGATAACCGTGGTGACTTCCGTTTCGGTGATGCCTGGCAAAAGATTCGAGTGTTATTTCGGGAACGCAATCATGATTATGAGCATTCTACTCACAGTGGGCCACTCCATCATCGCCCAATGTGGCATAGACGGTGACAATGGGCATGGCCTGCTTGAAGCATCCGTGGGCAGCGATCATCCACTCGGCGCGAGTCTCGGCAAAGATGACAATGTTCTCGCGCGGTTTCTGGCCCAGTTCCCGCAGACCGCGTCCGAAATTAGCCGCCGTACGCTCCGCTTCGGTGAACGTCTTCCACTTGTAGTCGCCCAGGTTGTACTTCTTGAAGACGCGTCCGTTCTGCTGCACCTCGTCCTCCTCGCTGAGGATCTGGCGGGTGCCCAGGCAGCGCTTCGACGTGTACGTCTTGGCCACATAGTTGAAGACCTTCTCCAGCGTGTCGATGTTCTCCTGCAGCATCTTCACGTGGACATCACGCGGCGGATCCGTAGTCCGGTAGGTCAGCTCATTGTCATCGTTCTTCACGATCTTTGCCTGGAAAATGTGCAAAATCGAGGCGATTAGTTTAACGTTCTGTCAGAGGTTGCGATTCGAAAATAACGCCAGATTAGGGGAGGGACCACAAAGTAGAGTCGACAGAGAGATAACGGACATGTGAGTTTTTGAGGGTTTGTTGAGGTGAGGGCCATAACTCAGGAGATCATGTTTCGTTGACCAACACCAAAAAGAGTCTCCAAACAGGGGATTCAACTCTGGGTACGATCACCAGTCCTTGGAACATTTATTGTGCGTGTGTGGTGTGTTTTTATGTGTGTGTGTGTGGTATGGGGGTGCCCCAATGTGTATTTGTGTAGTGTGTGTATGTTCCATAACAGATAGTATTATTAAATTAATAAAAACACATTTGCAAAAGTTAAACCTCTATGTCATCCGGCGCGTACTTGGACTCATCGACCAACATTTTCTGGTTAATGGGCTTGGCCTGTAGAGGAAGGAGGAGTTGAGATATGCGATGAGAAGCTGGTTTAGCCAAAGTATCGAATAAAGATTTGCTAATGCCCTCTATGATACCATTTTACCCTTTGTTATTTATGATCCCTCAGCCATCAGGATTTCACTTTAAGCAATTTATAATTTTAAAAGTCTACAGAAAGTTGCACTTAACATTTATGATGCAAGCGGTTTTAGTTTTCGACGTTAACGTAACCGTAACCCATAAACCTTATCAGCCCACTGAAAAGGCCAACCAAAAACCGCTCCATTTAGATAGTGAAAAATCAGATAAAAAAGTTCCTCAGCTGGGGCTTTTTCTAAACAAGTTGTAGCCGGAAATATTTTGGTTCTCATGCAATTCAATTAATTCCATGGGATCGTTTATTTAATTGCCAATTTTATTTTAATACTGTGCATGCTTTGATAATTATCCTTGAATTTTTCGTTACTTGAGTTTTTTGAAAAGACTGTGAGCAACGCAATGGTCCAATTCACCAACGAAGTCAAACAGTTCCTCCATGCAAGTTTCAGTTGTTTTGGACTTGGCATTTACACGATCATTGCACTCTTGATACTTCTTGTATAAGGAGTCGATATGACCCTTTTTCTGGCATTTCTCCCTAAGGGCTGCTTGCGGATCAACTAATTCCTCTTCGTCGTCACCGGCTTTAATGACAGGCAGCGAAAACCAGCTCTTAAATGCCATATTTAAAGTTTAAAAAAAAATGACGAATTTATTTTCCGAGAATTGTTTCCAGTTAACTCTTATTTAGAATTGCTTCTATCAGTTTTCGACTGACAGCTAACACTAACTTTGCTAACTATATAACATCTTCCTGTTTTTTAACATCTAACAAGCACATCCATTGTTTCCCCTGCGCGATTCCCTTATCAGGACCACCTGCGTTGTCTATATGGCCTGACAATCAGTGCAATTATTCCTAATATTCGCGGAATAACAAAGCAAAGCGAAAGCAAGAACATCGCTTGGGGTAATTGTCGTATAATAAAGCGAATCTCTGATAAAGACAAAGAGATAGTGGAAAAAGTGGACCTGGTCAATAAATCAAAAGTCGTCATGCACATTGATAGGAAAAAGAAATGAAACTAGGGGCACCTGGTATAGGAAATTAAATGTGGAAAAAACTAAATCAAGCTGATAAGCAAGGGTGCAGTTTTGAAAAGAAATATATATATACGAAACTAAAGCATGCGATTGTAGCTAAGTAGCCAGGTCTCTGTACTTTGGAACGGCCAGTGCAAAGTCGAAAGTATTTCAACTACACGATTCTAGAGATAGTTACAGCCGTCGCACTGATTGGCCGCCGCGTAAGTGAGGGGCTTTTTCCATATATTTCCACTAGCAAAGAGTTACTCCGGATCCCTGGTCCGAGCACTCACCTTCACGCGACGCGAGTCCTGCCGGCGTTTCCAGGGTTTCTGCAGCACCAAGTAGACCGGCAGCGTGATGATGTCGTACATGAAGGCGATCGCCTTGATCGCGCCAATAGCGCTCTGCACCCAAAAGCTGTCCATTCTGGAAAGACAATGAAAAATACAAATTAGTGGCCAATTGGTATGCAAATTTCAGCAGGGAAGAACTATTGGTTTCCACGCCCCGGTTGTCTGTTCAAACGATTCCTCCATTGCACCCACCCATCCACTCGTTGTAGCGCCGTCGCAAGCCGAAAACCAACTGATATCACCACCTGCCGCTGCTGCCACTGTTAGTTAGCAGGTCTTGAAAGTCCGCCAACGGAAAGGGGTAGACACTCTCACGCTCAGTTCAGTTCAGTCCGATTCTCGGTGCTCAGAAAACGCTTTTCAAACGGGCGATAGGGAATAGGCGATAGCAAGTGGAGAGCACTGGGGGTGTTCGGCTTTTTATCAGCTAGAGATTGGTTAGCCGTAACGAGCCGAAGTCCGAATCGCAAGTAATAACTCACCCTCAAGGGGCCCGAGTAATTCGCCATTGTAATGAACTAAAACTTGAGTGTATGTCTGGTACTCGTCTGGACCCTTCTCGTACGTCTGGTTTCTTATCGACGACCTGAAACCAATCTACAACTAGATTGACTAACAAGTACCCTATAAAACGTGTCACAAATCAAGGATATCTGCAATATTTCATTAATCATCGAGTAATCTTTACGATGGGAAATACTTCTCAAAATTTGTACCTGATTTGTGGGTCGTTCTGCCTTACATTTTTACGTTAAAAACTTTTATTTTCTGTTATAACAACAAACAGTTAACTGAGCTATTTCTTCTCCTACCTTATCTCTAATTTATTTTTGTACTTATCAACACCCGAAAATATCCCACAAATTTGTCAGCAAATCTCACTTTCTTTGCAATTCCATTAATATTGCCGCCATGATGTCGCTTTTTTATCACGTTATTTATAATTGCATTTAGACAAAAAACGCATGCCAAATATTTTTAAATTTTGATTTCTCATTAAAAATTTGACCGCTTGCCACCAGAACACTAGATAAACTTATTATCGCAATGCTAAATTAATTAAAATCGTACGAGTTTCATTTTAAAGTACTGTAAGGCAAAGGCCTTTTACTAGGAACTTCGCTTATCCATAATTGATAATCGCTCGTGGCTGGATTAATTTAAAAACCAGTTACTAACATAGAAAGCTAGAAGCAAGTTATCTTTGGAAAGGAGTCATGCTGAGATTCACATTTATTTATAAATAAATAAAGCAAATATAATATACTGCTAGTGGTACATAGAAATATGTGAGCGATCCCAACCTGTGGCACTTTTTATAATCCGTAGTGAAAAATGTAGTAAAGACTGCACACTTGATAAAGAAATTGTGTGTGAGTGGTGGCCTGATAAGCAAATCGAACACCAGCCTTGAACTTGGATTGCGCAAGTGGGCATGACGTCAATTTCCCGGTTGCAGTATTTCACAGGAAATATTTCAAATCACTTTGTTAAAGCAAAATTATTTTATTTTATTTCTAGCTCGATTACTTGAATACGCAAATTTGTAATAGAAAACTCTTCATTTGATTTCAAATAACTATAAGTCTTCAGGATAGTGTTTCTAGATGAAATAAGTTGCATTATTATAACACTATTCTCCTTATTCAAAGAACCCACAACCAAAAGCTAACAATAACATATGTATGTACTAATGGAATACACGAAAAGCAAGCATTTAATTAAACAGACGCTTTATCAAATATATATACTTACTGCGCATCATCTTCGATGAACATCTTGCCGTTTGTTTTTTATTTGTCCGATATTTTAATTGAATGGATTATCTTGATGGGTGGTGGGAATAGGTGAGGTGCGAGAGGGTTAACGCTCTCTTTATGTGGGGGATATCCTCCAAAAGAGCTTAGCTCTGATTGAACGAACAAACAATGGATGCAACAATAAAACGATGACGTCAGGTGTCCCTCTCCAGATGTTGTTCTGTTTGTTGTTTTCACCTGCAACCGGAAAGAGAACGAATATATGCATTTATGTAGTGAAAATGAGATAAGACAACAAAATGGGGGAAATACAAAAATACGAGGAAAGCGTGAAAGTTTGCATAATTGCATAAAACCGTAACCAAATGTGTGTGTGATGACATAATAACAAAACAGAAAACCAAAACTTCTCTGTTAAGATATCATTTATTTAAATAATATCTTGGTACAGAAAATATTTCCCTTTTCCACTCTTAAATTAGATAATAATAATCAAATCAAGCGTAAATATTATTTCAATTAGGTAACATCCTGACCTTCTTAGATATTATAATCAAAATAAAAATTAAAGCCCAAACAAGTTTTGGTTACGTATTTGGTTTTCCTGGATATTTGCCAGAGAACCAAAATGCTGATAATAAGAACATGAAAAACGATTAAAGATGATATCAACAAAGAAAGAGTATATGTATATAGAGCAAAATTAAAATTAGACGGGCTGTTTAAAGTGAAAAGCAAGAGAGGTGATTGCGTAATCGGGTTCTCTAGCTCTCACATTCACTCTCTCTGTCTCTCTTAGTTCGCCCATTAGTGAAGGTAGATAAACATTGGTATAGGTCGGGGACATCAATAGAAACTATACAAATTCGTTGGCATTAATTTACACAACTTACGAAAGAATGTTTTGGCGCTTTTTTTCTTATTTATGAACAAAATGGCCAAAGTCCGACCGAACAAGGTTTATCCGTTCTGAAAGCAGATATCAAATGGATTCCTTAGAATCTGCCGTCACTGATAAACAACGAAGAGCCCTCCATTTCAAGGCGCCCAAAGTTCGTTTCTTATGCAATCTCTCGAAACTCACAAATCATGTGATATGCGAGTGGTATAAAAGGGTATACAAATGTGAAACTTCAGTTCAGTCTGCTTCGGTGGAGTGCATTGAACTGAACCCAAAATACAGATCTTCTGGTCGGTTATCCCTCGTACCCCAGTCATATGGGAAAAACTCGGAGCAGAAGAGTCGAAACCGTAAACGTTGGGAATACGTGTTTTGTTTGCAAAGAAAGAGAATATGAAAACATAACGAAGGCTGCAAAAACAACACCATTCGGTATTTAAATATTATATAGGCAAAAAGAAAAAGACAGTTTGCAAACAGTCGGCACAGTGGTTGAAAAATGGTTTATACAGTTGAAAAAAATCGACTTTTCTTTAGAAAGATCTCCAACGTATGAAAGAACGCTTCTATATCGCAGACCAACTAACTTGCTTTTGATAATAAAGATTATTAGACTTATAGAGGTTTAGAGTTAGGATTGCTCAAGTTATAAATATTAAACTGCTTATATTTGGCCTTTAACTATTAACAAATTCAAACTAAAATCTTTTTCTATTATGTAAGCTTTTTTTGCGCTTTAAATCTTTTTCCGACCACACTCAGAAAATGAATCGCCCTGAATTTTAGAAAATCGCCTATGGATTTGCTTCACTGGCGATTTTTTTCTTAAAATAAAAAAAATTTTCTACTGGTAAAGAAAATTTTCTTCCAATTAATCAAAATTCATTAAATTCAAGAAATATTCCAGAAATATAGAAAAAAATCGCCAGTAAAGCAAATCCATGGGCGATTTTCTAAAATTTTTTTTTGAGTGCACCACTGTGCAAAGTTCAAAGCGCTCGTGTGGCGCAAAACATAGGCGAAAGTTGTTTAGCTGCCGTTGTAGCTTAATGAATGAAAATTAAATGAAAAAAAATATTAAATCGTTTAGCGTTACATTATGGGTCGGTACAATAATTTCCACAGTTCACCAATGTGATATTCGGATCTTGAACCCCGGGTCAGGGTTCAAACTCAATGTACACAAAAAGAAACGAGATCGCCGAGAATGGCGTGCTAGAAACAAAGGTTATGCCAAGCATTCTCTCTAACTAAGCAATCATGCTCTGGTTGAAAACAATAAGGAAATTGTGCGCATTAAGCCTGTGATTACTGTAATCCGTACTTTGGACGCGACACGCCCCCACACCGCCCCTCTGGCCAGCAGTGTGCGATGTCGCACATGTGAAAAAATTATGGCGGTTGTGCCTAAATAAGCACTACTCTGAAAACTGATTGAATCAGATCCGATTCGTAAGCCTTGGGGTTATAAAACACACACACCCGGCGTATGCGTAATGTCTTACAACGATCGCAGAAGGTCAACAGCCATCAGAAAACCTTTAGGATAAAACAAACTCTTTGCGTTAGCCGCTAAAAATTGCACTTCATTTTATTTTTTATTTAAAAATTTTATTTAAAGGTTTTAAGAATGCATGTTACGATCCAATAAAGATGAATTGATATACTTAAAATGTCATTTTCGAAATGTTGTGATGGTTGAAATTGCATTATACACTCATAAAAATAATTTTCTACATTTTAGAAAATCGCCCTAAAAAAATTTTCGCCCTTGAACTGAGAAAAATTTTCTATTTTCACGACAAATTTGCCATAAATTCAAGGCAGGTGACCATAAAAAAATATTTTTAGGGTTAATTTTTCTATTTTTCTAATATTTAGGGCGATTTTTTTCGATTTGCTTCGTTTTGACCTTTTCTAAATCCAACGGCGAATTGCCCTAATTTTTTTTCTAAAATTTTTCTAAATACAAGGGCGATTCGCCTTAAAAATCACTCCAAAAGTGTGAAATTCGGTAGCCCAGCGGTCTAATCACTTGCGCTTTCAACTTTGCTATATGAGGACTAAGGTCGTGGGGTTGTGGGTTCGAACCCTGTGTGATTCAACTTGATTTTTATGTTTTTTTTTTTTTGTAAACATTATAATACTGAGGACATTTTTTCGTCCGAATTTTAAATTAAAGTAGTCTTTAAACCTTAAAAATGTATGGGAGTTCTGAGTTAAAAGCATACTTTGTGTTGCGGGCAAGAAAACGGGACTAATTGTCACAGTCGTCAGGAAAAAAAATATACGGTTTAGTTGCCTTTAGTCAAAATATAACGTAGACCTCAAGAAAATAAGATGTCTGCAGAGTTTGTTCGTTGTCTTGCGCGATGGGTCTGTGGTGCAGCGGTAGGACGTTAGACTCTAAACCGAGAGGTCGTGGGTTCGATTCTCGCAACGACCAAAAAAAGTAAGTTGTTTTTTCTCCTCATATTTATTTCCCTAATTCGTTTACAAACATGATTTTTCAGTTCTAACGGCTGTGTTGTATAGATCGGGCCCCCCTCTTAACGCAGCTCCCATATAAGCTACACACCAATACAATAATATGAAACGGTGTCCTCCGCCGGTGTTGTTTAATTAAAGCAGCAGTCCCAGAATATAGACGATTAAAAAAAAAATGCTTCCCAAATTCAGTTAAGCATGCTCAAACACGATTTTTTTTAATTTGTCTAATTTTTTAGGGCATTTGCCTATAAAATCAGAAAATTCGCCCTTAATTTTAGCAAATCACCCTAAAAACAGGAAAATATTTCTTATTTCAAGAAAAATCACCCTAAATTAAACCAAATTTCCATCGGGATTTTTTAGAAAATTTTTCTAAATACACGGGCGAATCGCCAGCGGATACGATTTATGGGCGATTTTCTAAATCCACGGGCGAAAAGTCAGTTTTTTAGGGCGATTTAGGGTAAAAATTTCTATGAGTGTAATTAGATATTTGTAAGGTAAACAATAGAGTAAACGCACGCTAATAACGGAAATTACGGTTCAATAAAAGTTTAAAAATTGATAAACGTTATGGTTCAGTTAAAATGCACTTTCTGAAGTAAGAGTTTCAGCAAATAACAAATTTAATTACTGGCATGTGTATAAAGATTATCTGATTACCTTAGGCACTTAAAAATATCAAAAGGGGTTCACATGTACGAGTTCAAATCTACACATTTTTGTTAAAATTCCAATTTCAGTTAATCATCATTTATAGCCAGCATTAAGCTGATTACACAATGCAAACTGTTTCTAATTTTAGGGTGAAACTCGCTTAATTGCTTCTAATAGAACAAAGGCACAAACCTTGTATTAATTACAACTGACAACGCTAGGTGCTTGTAACTGTTTTTCTCTACTGCTGTGGTGCTAAAATACACAAGCTCTTTCCGTTTTCGTATTGATTGCTATTATTATTTGCGTACATTGCACGACAGACTGCAACCGGCTGAAAGGCATTGTTTAAACGAGCACGTTGTGCTTGATTAAATCAGAAAATACACCTGGAGTCGCCGCGAAAATAAAGAGTATAAAGTAGAGCAAACCTCGAACTTGAAACAACTTTTGTGCTGGTGTTTACAAACTGTTATTTTTGCTGACGCCAATGGAATTGCAACTTCGCAAAAACGGAAAAGTAAAACAAAATGAGCTGTCAAAGTCCAAGATCGCTTTTTGCTCCAAGCTCGGGCATTACGAAATCGCCGAGCAATGCCAAAACTAAAGCGTTCTACATTAATTGTATAGAATGGCAACAAAGAGAAAACTTCAACTCGTAAAGAACACGTCACCAGAAATGCCTTAGACATAAACGTGTCCACTAACGGACGTCATTTGTGTTTTTCATACAAATATTTCGTATATTTCACTTTGTTGTGCGAAGTTGCGCAGCAGAAAATAAACGAGTGACTCAACTTTTACCTTTTTTTGTTTGTTTCGTGAAATACTTTCTCAGCTCTAGTTTTAGCCACCTGTATTGATCGATTCTCCCTCGATCAGCTGCTACATTGTTTACAATTGAAAACGCCACTCTGTACATATAGCGCTTGCATAAATATTACTTGAACTTTGGTCAAGGTGTCGCTTTTAAATGGGAAATAGTAACGGGAACTGATTGCCTTGACATTGGAAGAGGGGGCAGGCGGTCGAAAGAAGTGAAAATGTGAGAACGCGACATTACTCTGCCCGCTGCGAGTGCGCATAATGCAAAATTTAAATTAAATTGCAACATTTGATTCATTTATTTCCATGCAGGCGACATTACGTGAGTGTCTGCTATATCTCCGTCTGTCCCGCTCCCTCGAGC